CAGCCTGGAAAAGGGGCACTGACATTACAGGGTAACACACACACACGCGCGCGCACACCACGCACACGCACACACACCGTATGTCACCTGACATACGTGTTTCAGAAGCTGCCAGCCTTCGGCTGAGTCGCTCGGAATCAACGTCTTACATTATTATTAATAATAATGATGATGATAATACTCCCGGCGTTTGACCCGGCGCCTCATCGCGTCTTCGAGACGTCTCGAAGCACTTCACGGGACACGCCGTTAAGTGGAGTGACTGTTGTGTTTTGTGGGCGAAACGCGGGTAGCCATTCGCGCCCGGCGACGTCCCCCACAAACAGCCGTGGGTCGGGCGAACAAATTATTATTGGTATTTTATTTTGAAGGGATTGTTACCCCCGGAAAAGCGATCGGTCAGTCGACTAACAAGCGGGTTCCTACTTACTGCCGGGTAAACAGAGGCGTGTGTGTGTGTGTGCGTGTGTGTGTGTGCGTGTGCGCGTGTGTGGTGTGTGTGTGTGTATCTGTGTGTGTGTGTGTGTGTGTCTGTGTCTGTATAGGTGTGTGTGTGTATCTCTGTGTGTGTGTGTGTGTACGTGTCTCTGTGCATGTATGTGTGTGTGTCTGTGTGTATGTCTGTGTGTGTGTGTGTATGTGTCTGTGTGTGTGTCTGTGTGGGGGGGGGAGAGTAAAGGAAACTTGCCCAAGGTTTCGCCCTGACCCGACCCACCCGGGTCTCTCTCTCTCTCTCTCTCTCTGGCTTGCGAGGCGGGGGCTCTAACCCCTGAGCTACGGGGAGAGAGAGAGAGAGAGAGAGAGAGAGACTCCTACGGTAATCAATGAGCAACCGCTCGGATTGGAAAGAGAGAGCGGAGGAACTGTGAAGTTCCTTCTTGGTTCTCAGATCCACAGGGTGTTCACAAAGTCCCGTTACCCCCTGTATTCTTTTTGTCTGTCTCTCTCCGTCTCTCCTTTACGGTGAGTTTTTACTGTCTGTTGCAGACGTAACGATCAATCTCGGGTTCCCCGCCGTGCTCTCGGTCCGTGGTATAGCACGTAGGGGGGTTCGAGACGTGTGTACGAGCCACAAAGGCCAACTAGATGGACCTTGGTCTTTTATGCCAACTCACACGCTTACACTCGCACACTCACACGCACTCACACGCACTCACACGCAAACCCAACGCCCACTCACACGCACTCACAAACCCACGCCACACACAGACTCGCACGCACTCGCACACCGACACGTAGACTCCTGCGCGCACACACACACGCGCGCACACACACTCACTCACTCGCTCGCTCACACACACAACACACGGGCGCACACATACACACACACACACATGCACACACTCACACATTCATACAACAGACACAACACGCGCACACTGATCCTTTGGACGTCTAAATACAGTTAAACACTTATTATTACTAATAATAATAATAATAATAAGAATCCTCGCATTTGACCCGGCGTCGAGACGTCTCAAAGCGCTTCACAGGAAACACCGTAAGGGGCGGCGACTGCGCATTTTGTGGGCGAAACGCGGGCAGCCAATTGCGCCCAGCGACGTCCACACAGACAGCCGTGGATTGAAGTGACCAGATGAACGCAATGATACGTGTACATCGATTAGGGTCGCTCGAGAAAAAAAAATGGGTGAGTGGGTGAAGGGGGTAACAGTACTTTGCGAACACCCCAGGCAGAAGTTTACCTGAATGTCTCGGGCATCTCCTCCCGTGTTGCTCATCTCGGCAGAGGTTCCCGTAGACAACCTCCTCCTGCCCGCTCCCTTGGACCACTTGGAAATTGGTGTAGGTGGGTTCGTACGCCATGGGTCCGGGCAGAATTCCACCGCCCACCCACCCCCACTGCGCGATGGCGTAGAGAGCGAGGAGGGCGAGCGATCGAACGAGGGCACCAGTGGGACTCGTACGTGACTCGACGGAAGTTTGGTTTAAGGGGGGGGTGGGGGGTGGTGGGGGGGCAGGGGGATGGGGAGGGGAGCGAGCGGAGGATTGTGGGAAGGACGAGACCAAATTGGTCTGAAGGGTGTTCCTCGGTCTTCCAACACTCTCTCTCTCTCTCCGCCCGCCCCTCCCCTCCTCACTCGCCAACAACGGCGACGGCCACTTTTCGCTCGCGTCCCCTCACGGGGGTTAGCATTCCCAGGAGCCTTCGTCACTCTTCCGACCTCTCTCTATCTCTCTCTCTCTCTCTCTCTCCTTGCCCCTCCTCGCTCGCCTCTCACTCCTCCCTCACTCACTCACTCACTCCTGGAGACTCACTGAGGACTTTCTCTGCGATCCACTCGAACCGTAGAGACTCAGAAACAAAGATGCTATTGATCGATCGATGGTGGTTGGGTGGGGGGGTGGGGGGGTGTGGGTGTTTAGAGGGGAGGGGGGTGGGTTGGGTTGGGGTTGGGAGGGGAAGTGGGTTGGGCATTTTCATATTTTTTTGCGTGATTATCTTTTTCTATTAAAATAAAACTCCGCTCGGAAGGAGGTACAGGAGGTTTGATAGCATCTCCCAGGCTTCCTGTCTGCCTTATCTCGATCGTTATGGAGACGTAATAAAAAAAAGTCGTAGGTTTATTTTGCCGTCTTATAAACAGTCTCGTTTTAAACGCAGCTTTTTTTTTTTTCCGGTGAACATTTTTTTTTTTGGTTTCCTATTTTGTTTCCATTTTCTTTCGACTTTTCTTCTTTCTGCTCAGACTCTTTTAGCTTCCTTCCTTCCTCCGCTCGCTCAAAAGTAGAGTAACCGTTTCCTCTGGAGGGTGGTGGGGGTGGGAGGTGGGGGGTTTAATGTGAACCGTTTTAAAATTAGAGCTCGGCCGTTTAGGAGGGTATTTTATTCAACTGCTCAAAAGGCGAGGGGAACTCTCAAACTCCGTCTATAATCTCTCTTCCCCCCACCACCCACCACCCTCAACGCCCAAAGGCTGTGGGTTATGGTCGGATCTGTTCACAGTGTCAAGACTGAGGTGGACAGATGTTTGTTGAGCCATTAAGGGATATGGGGTACCAGATGATTTCGAGACCATGGGGTATGAGACTTTGTCAAGTGATGCCCCCAATGTCTGGGCAGGTCCAACGATCAGCTTCCTTCCCCAACATCCTCTCCCAACATAAATCGGGGCATGGAATTCAAAAGTCAGGAGGTTATGCTGAATGCTTATAAAACGCTGGTCAGGCCTCAGATGGAGACTGCGTTCAGTTCTGGGCACCGCACTTTAGGAGAGGTGTTAGGGCACATTGGAGAGGGCGCAAAGGAGGTTTACCAGGATGGTCCCAGGAATGAAGGACCTTGGTGATGAGGAGAGGTCAGCAGCGAATAACTGGCATTATTGTCCCGAGAGCGGAGAAGATTGAGAGGGGATTTAATAGAGGTTTTCAAGACCGTGAGAGGATTTGATAGGTTGAACCGGGAAAAACTGCTTCCACTGGCGTGCGGGGGGTCAGTAACCCGAGGACACCGATTTAAGAGAGTTGTTAAAAGAAGCGGAGGGGAGATAAGGAAGTTTTTTTTCACCCAGGAAGAGAAATAGATGGGGAGGATAAGGGCTATGGAGAGAAAGCGGGCCAGTGGGATTGAGTGGGAAGCTCTCTTAGGAGCCGACGCAGGTACGATGGGCCGAATGGCCTCTTTCTGTGCTGTATGATTCTATGATCCTTCCCCAAAGAGGATAAAGATCCCTCTACACTGTGCGTCCACACTCCATAGGTCAGGGTTAGAGACACAGTAAAGCCTCTACACTGTCGGTCCGTCCACACTCCCAGGTCAGGGTTAGAGACACAGTAAAGCCTCTACACTGTCGGTCCGTCCACACTCCCAGGTCAGGGTTAGAGACACAGTAAAGCCTCTACACTGTCGGTCCGTCCACACTCCCAGGTCAGGGTTAGAGACACAGTAAAGCTCCCTCTGCACTGTACGTCAACATGACACGGTATTGCGCTCAGTCTCTTAACGCACGACACAAAATACTGGCAATCTCTCTCTCCCTCTCTCAGGCTTCTCCAAACCAGTTTATTTGACACTTACAACTTATGTTGTTAAAAAATTGCCCGAATAAATGAAAGATCTACTGCAGGGAAAGGAAGATAAGAACGCTGTTGAAATGATCTCGCCGTTAGATGTAATAATAAGCCTTGCATTTGATATAGCGTCTTATCGTGCCCCAAATAGCACGTATATAGCCTCAAAACCCTTCACAGTTTGCTAGAGATGATGCATTCGATAGGCAAATACCTCACCAGTGTGTACACAAATGTGCTATTTCGGTGAGTGTTTCGAGTACAGAACAGGGAGACAGCAGAAACATGGATTCTTTCGGAAGCAAAGAATGGTAGTAATAATAATAACAATCCTCACGTTTGACCCGGCGCCTTACCGCCTCTTCGAGACGTCTCAGAGCGCTTCACGGGATACGCCGCGAAGACTGTGCGTTTTGTGGGTGAAACGCGGCAGCCAATTGCGCTACGTCCCGGCTACGTTCCCACAAACAGCCGTGTGTTGAGAGACCGATTTATTATTATTGTTGGAGGGAAAAGCGATCCACCGATCGACTAACAACCGGGTTCCTACTTACTGCTGGGTAAACAGAGGCGCGCGCGCGTGTGTGTGTGTGCTGTGTGTTTGTGTGTGTGTTTTGTGCGTGTGTGTGTGCGCGCGCGGAGTAAGGAAACTCGCCCCGCCCTGCCTTAAATCGAACCCAGGCTCTCTCGCTTGCGAGACGGGGGGTTTTTAATCGGCGCTTTCGAACAATGCACTATAATCCTCGCGGGGACGGAAGCTGCACGCCTGTCACGGGGCTGGTTGCCGGCAGTGACGCGGCTAAATGTCTTGCAGGCGAATTGGCTGAAGGTCCGCCCGCTGATAGTGGGGCGAGCGAGGCGGGAGTGGGACGTGAAGCAGGTCGGAGCCCGCTGAGCGGAGGGAGCGAACAGGGTGGTAGGGGGTTGGGAGGTCGGAGAGGCGGGTGGGGGGCGCGGGGGGTGGGGGGGGAGCAAGACCGTTGAGGGCTTAGAGGGAGCACGAGAAGTCTTTGTCTGTCCATTCGTGCCAACCGAAGCTCCCTCAACAGCCGGCAGCAAACAGCGAACCCTTCTCCAGTCGATTGCACTGTTTTGGCCATCGTGCCCTTCACCGCGGCTTGTTTTATTGCGGGATGGACGTGCTCTGGGAAGGCAGAGATAGTCACAGTGATTGTGATACGGCCATTGAAAACACACTCGTATGTTAGTGTGAAGCGTGTGAGAGAGAGAGACAGAGAGACAGAGGGAGGGAGGGAGAGTGAGAGAGAGGGGCAGATGGGAGGTGGGGGGGAGGATGGTGATCTTAAGCACGGTCGAAGAGGAAAGTCTTCGGAAGTGGTGCGATGCGAAGACGGGGCAAAGAGAGAGGGGGGGTAGGGGGGTGGTGGAGGAGGCAAAGTTCCAGATGCACCCAGGAGGCGGTGGAGGGCGGAGAAGGTTGGGGTCGGGGGGATGGGGGTAGGCGGGTGACCGAAGGTGCAGTCGGTTGAAGGGGAGGGTCTTGAGACCGGCAGGTTGATATGGGGGCCAGCAGGGTGGCAGAAGTAGGGGAGGGGCAAGGCCGTGGAGGGCCTTGAGGGGTTTTGACCCACCCCCTGGGTGGAAATTTCCCCCTGAGGGTCACATTCGCTAGCTCTCACCTGCACGCTGGTACTCTGCGCCTTCGCCCTCTGGCTACGGCAAACGAAGCTGAACCACTTCCGATACTCATCCCTGACCTGGCGGAAAGACGGATAATATTAATATCCCTTCAAGACACACAAAGCCCCAATAAAGCAGCCCGTCTCGAGATCCTACTCTTCGATCCAACCGCCCCCTCGGTGACCCTCCGCCACCCCTCCCTCCGCAGGCTGCAGATCATCCAGAACTTCTGCAGCCCGTGTCCTCTCCCGCACCAGACCTTCAGCCTCTCTGCCCCCACCCTCTGGAACTCCATCTCTCTGCCTCACGACCCCCCCCTCCCTCACCTCCTTAAGACCCGTCTCGAGACTCTCCTCTTCGACCAATCCTTCCCCTCCCTTGCACTCCATCCTCCCCCAATCCTAACCCCCCCCCCCACCCCATGTAATGTTGTTGTGGTGGTTGAGGAGACTCTTGAGAACGGGCCTTTGAAGGAGGCAAAGCGAGAAGGGAAGAGGAAGGAGATTACCTGCTTGTTGAGGAGACAGTGGAAGATGAAGATGGATGCTCCTTGGAAGACATTGGTGATGATGAATAGGTAGGCGATGGTGGTGGACGCCCGGATGAAGTGGACAATACCAAAGATCCAGGTAATCCCCAGGAGAAATAACTGAGCGACCGCAGTGCCGACAAAGGCTCTGGGGGGGAGAAAAACACAGTTTAAACTTACAGTTTACTATTGTTGATTATTGTTAATTATTAATAATTATTATTGATTATTAATTTGGAATAATTATTATAGTTCGTTTGCTGACGCGCAGACCAGGGGAAAGAGCGAGAGAGAGAGAGAGAGAGAGGTTTAACGTCTCCAACAATGCAACATTCACCTTATCTTCTTCAACTTGGAGGCGTTAGGGACCAGACTCGAAATCTTCTGGGTCAGTTTCCACAAAGTGATGCTGAAGACAACCAGGTTGACCTGGGGCAACAACAACAACAACAACTGACATTTACACAGCGCCCTTCACGTGGGAAGGTCTTTAGGATGGGGCGGCGGGGGGGTGGGGAGGGTGTGTGAAGATGGAGAGGGAGGGAGGGAGTGGGGGGGTGAGGGAGTTCCAGAGTTTCGGGGAGTGGCGTAGCAGCTGAAGGCACGGCCACCGATGGCAGAGCAGAGTGAGGGAGGGGGTGGGGGTTCGGGGTGGGGTGGGGTGGGGCGCGAGGGACGAACAGGAGGCCGGTGGCTTCGAACGCTTGAGATTCCGTCCGTCCACAAACACACATCCCACGAAGCTCTTCGAGACGTTCCGGGAGAGAGAGAGCGATACGATTATTAAATATTATTATTAATATTTTTATTAGTGGTATTATTAGTAATAACATCGCCGGTAGACTCTACTCACCAACACGATGAAGCACACAGGCCCGCCGAAATACCAGGCCGCGCTGGGGGTGGCAGCGAGCCAGCAGCTATAAAATTATAGCATCGTAATTAATAATCCCGACTGACCATCGTGCCTTTGGGCGGCTATCACACACACACACACACGCGCGCACACGCACGTACACGCACGCACACACGCGCGCGCACACAGACACGCACACACACGCCTCTGCAGTAAGTGGGAACCCGCTTGTTAGTCGATTGGGCCGAACGCTTTTCTGGGGGTAATAATCCCTTTAAAAATAATATTGTTAAAACATAATAATAACAGTACTTTGGTCAGTCAATCCACGCGTGTGCGTGTGGGACGCCCACAAAATATACAGTCAGTATTCATATTATTACTACTACCATTATTACTATCATTACGACTGCTATTATGATGATTACTTTTATGTTATGACAAGATTTGGGCAACTCGTTTCAAAGAGCCGTCACAGACACGATGGGTCGAATGGCCTCCTTCTGGTCTGTACAATTCTATGATTATGATTATTATTATTTCTATTGTTATTATAATCACTATTACTATCATTATTACGATTGTTATTACAATCGTTATTACTATTATTATTACTATTGTTATTACAATCATTATTAATATTATTACTATTGTTATTACAATCATTATTACTATTATTACTACAATCATTATTACTATTATTACTATTGCTATTACAATCATTATTATTACTATCATTATCACTATTGTGATTACAATTATTATTATTATTATTGCTAGCATTATTACTAGTATTATGACCATTTAGTAACCCGCGAAGCTCTTTGAGATGTCTCGCGGACGGGGCAAGGCGCTGCGTCAGAGGCGAGGACTGCCATTAATACTGCCGACCAAGATGATGTCCGGCACTTACTACGTCTTGGTCTCGTAGATGGTGGGTTGTATGGACGCGGAGATCGAGACCAGCACAGCCGGAAGCCCGTAGCCCACTGCGTACACGTATCGCCCCCGGAGACTGCTGATGTGGAACACCATGACCACCATCAGGTACAGCACCACACCCTCCAGTAACATCCACACAAACACCGCCAGGAACAGGTAGTGCAGGAGTGCAGCGACGATCAGGCACCCCACCTAACAGAGGGAACCACCGCGACAACAATAACTACTCTTGCCAGGATGGGCAAGGCTTTGGCGAGGGCGCGAAGGAGGTTAATGAGCACAATAATGATGATAATAATACTCCTGGCGCGTCGTACAGCTCCTGATCGCGTCCTCGAGGCGCCTCAAAGCGCTTCGCGGGACCTCGAAGCGGAGCGACGGTGTGTTTCGTGCACGCGGTCGGTGTGTGTCCCGTCGAGCGCCTCGAGACGTCTCGAAGACGCGATCAGGAGCTGTATCGAATACCAGCATTATTATCATTATTATTATTAACATTATCATTATCATCAATTATTATTATAATTCGAGAATTATCCTTTTTGACCTGATTGCTGGTGTTGTTCACGAACACGAGGAAGATCAGGTAAGCCAGGAACAGACACAGGGACAGGTGCAAATGGATGGTGGTTCTGTTGGACTGTATGGACTGACACTTGAGGAATGTGAATATCGAAATCGACAAACACACCAGACTGACAGACAGTCCTCCGAATGTTATTTCCGGTGCGTATTTGATGTCAGGGTCCTGCCATAAACAACAACAACAACAACAACAAATTACATTTGTGGAGTCCCTGTAGCTCGGTGGTTAGAGCAAGTTTCCTTACTCCACACACACACACACACACACACACACACCCGCTCGTTAGTCGACTGGCGGATCGCTTTTCCGTGGCTTAATAATCCCTTCAAAAATATATCTAATAATAATAATTTGGTCACTCAAATCCGCGGCTGTTTGTGGGACGCTGCTGTGCCCAATCGGCTGCCGCGTATCGCCCACAAAATACACAGACAATTCGCTTTACGGTGTATAACCTGGAAAGCGCTTTGAGACGTCTCGAAGACGTGATATCAAATTACTGTCATTATTACTGTCATTATTGCTATCATTACTATTATAATTACTGTTACTATTATGATCACTATTACAATACTATATTATGCTTTGAAAAGATTTGGGATATCCGAATGGCCTCCTTCTGTAATGTATTATTCTATGATTCTATGATTATTACTATTATGATTGCTATTATTATTATTACTATTGTTATTGCCGGGGGGGGTGGGGGCCGAGGGGGTGGGGGGAATAAGCAGTTACCTGCTCGCTGGAGGATACGAGGATGACAAAGCTGGAGAGATGGTAAGCGTTACAAATTGTGTGCGTGGCGTTGAGTTCTACGGTCCTGCAACCGTCGTCTGCCCAGACCTGTCTGGCTCGGTTCCAATAGGCGCACAATCTCGTACCGTTCCCCGTTATGTTCTGCAGAGCATCGAAAGATATCGACGACGGCGGCTGTGCGTTTTGCGGGCGAGACAACGACGGCAGCGATTTGCGCTCGTACCGCCCCCCCCCCCCCCCACACACACCCACACACCCAGCGCTGCACTGGAACGTCACCTTAGACTGTGCGATTTCTAAGTCCCGATGCGGGGGCTTCAACCCATAACCTTCTGACTCAGGGGCGAGAGAGAGAGAGAGAGAGAGAGAGAGAGAGCCAGGCCTTGTCTTTTTTTTCTCTTGCCCGGCCGGGTGTCTCAGTCTGGCGCACGCCCAGAAACCCGTCACCGTGGCTTAAGGGGTCTCCAAACCCAACCGAGAATTCCAGGCCTCCCAACCCACCTCCACACGGAAACCCCAGAGATAGGTGGTTGGGATGGAATGCTCTCCCTCGGAGGGACCAAATTCCGGAGCATTAGGCGCAGGTTGGCGAGAGCCAAGGCTTTGGGAGGTGGGTGTCCCGCTGCTTGTCCAGCTAGGAACACCCTCCCTGTTAGGTCGGGTGTGGGGGGGGGGGGGTTTGGCTCGCAGGGTTAACGGGAGCTGAGTGGGAGGATTGCCCCCCCACCCACTCCCCAGTGACTGGTCTGCCCTTCCAGGTCCTGGCAAACAAAGCGCCTCATAAGAACATCTTCCAAACCTTGGCGTGCAGCAAAACGAAAGAGATGGGGAGTGAGAATGCAGAGGTGGTGTTGGCGTTAAACAGTCCAGTGACCACGTTGCTACCAAATCTGAAGACCGTGCCTGGCTGGGCTGCGTTGGTTGTGAGGTTGATGTCGCTTTGATCCAGAAAATCATTGCCCCTCGTGAAGAGCAGATCCAGTTTCTTACTCTCGACAAAGGCACAATAAATGCCTGTGACTGGCAACAGAGACATGTCCAGCTGTTAGGGACCGTCGAGAGCCGCTTTCGCTCATTGTAGGGTATTGGTTAGAGAGCGCGCGTGTGCGCGCGCGTGTGAGTGTGTATGTGTGTATGTGCCTGTGCCAGTGCGTGTGTGTCTGTGCTGTAGCTGTTAGACGCGAAGGGAATCGATAGGAACAGTGAAACTTACCACAAAGATCTGACAGATTTTGCATTAGTTTCCAAGGAACTTGCATCTCGTTACCCCCCACATGCAGATTCCAAGCCTGCTCTGAACCCAACTTGGTTCTGTTCACATACATGCTCGCTAGTCCTGGAAGAAAAGGCGTTGACGCCTGGGGTCAGGGGGGTTTCGCGGTTTCATAGGAACGTCAGGGAGGACGTCTACGGAAGGACGCACCGCAAAGCGTAGTGACTGTGTGTTCTGTAGGCGAACGCAGCAGTCAATTTGCTCGCAGCGATGTCCCGCTAACAGCCGTAAAGTAATAATATAACAACAATCCTTACGTTTGACACACGTTCCTCAAAGCGCTTCACGGGACGCACTGTCAAGTTGGAGTGACTGCGTGTTTTGCGGGCGAAACGCGGCAGCCAATTGCGCCCAGCGACGTCCCCACAAATAGTCGTGGGTTGAGCGACCAAATTATTATTCATTTCAATTTTTTTGGAGGGATTATTACCCCCGGGAAAGCGATCCCTCCAAAAAAATCGACTAACAACTGACTGCTGGGCAAACAGAGGTGTGTGCATGTGTGTGTTTGCGTGTGAGTGAGTGTGGAGTAAGGACACTTACCTAAGGTTTTGCCCCACCCGCCCGGGAATCGAACCCAGGTCCTCTCACTTGAAGGCGAATGCTCTAACCACTGAGCTACAGGGACACCTCGTTGCAGTTATTGTCAGCTCGGACATTGGGGAGCGAGAGAAAGAGAAGAACTCTCTTTTCTTTTGCATTAGCACCGCAAGGAATCTTTAACAAGAGATTGCGTTGGAGAATAACAATCCTCGCATTTGACACAGCGCCCTATCACATCTTCGAGGCATCTCAAAGCGCTACACTGTAAAGTGTAGTGACTGTGTGTTTTTGTGGCCGAAGGGTCTCAAAGGGCCAGCAGGATTTTACTGTACAGCGTAGTGACTGGGGAAAGTGTTCGGATCCTTATACATTACCAATATTTTCCAGGTATTTCCGTTTGGTTTCCTTGGAGTTAAATATACGTGTCCGTATCACCTCTTCCAGACTTTCCAGGTAATCGCGGAATAATTGACGTGACTTTTCAGAACTGGGATAATTAGTCCTGTTTGTTGAATCTTCTAGCTTCAAACTTAAGCATTGAAGAATGGTCTGTTGGATGAGAGACAGTTCAGTTATAATAATAATTATATAATAGTCTTGCTCCTTGTCACGTCTTCCAGACATCTCAAAGCGCTTCACAGAACATACTGTAAAGTGAATTGACTGTATAGTTTGTGGGCGAACGCGGCAGCCAATCGCGCACAGTAGCGTCCCACAAACAGTCGTGGATTGAAGTGACCAATTTATTATTACTTTTTTTTTGAAGGAATCATTAGTCCCGGAAATGCGATCCGCCAATCGACTAACAACCGGGGTTCCTACTTACTGCGTATGGAGTAAGGAAACTTGCCCAACATTTTGCCCGGCTGGGAATCGAATCCAGGTCTCTCGCTTGCGAGGCGAACGCTCTAAGCACTGAGCTACATGGAAACAGGCACGGCCAGTCCATACCTGTGTTTATACTCCACACAAATTTCCAATCCAAATCACTCCCTCCCACACCGTCTATTCCCCTATCCTTCATCTAAGCAATTCACTTCCTCTTCAATCTATCTGCATTATCTGGTTTGACAATCTCAAAACAGTCTGCGTGAGTAGTTCCTCCTAAATCAGGGCGAAACCTTGGGCAAGTTTCCTTACTCCACACAGAGCCTAATAATAATCCCTCCAAAACAAAAAAAACAATAATAAATTGGTCATTTTCAATCTACGACTATTTGTGGGACATTGCTGTGCGCAATCGGCTGCCGCGTTCGCCCACAAATATACAGTCAATTCACTTTACAGTGTGTTCTGTGAAGCGCTTTGGGACGTCCTCCCGACGTGAAAAGCGCTATATCAAATGCAAGGATTATTATTATTATTATTATTAAATACTCTTTTAGATCGCAATCACAGAACAAAAGCAGTTCTCTTAGTGAATTGACTGTATTTTGTGGGCAGAATGAGGCAGCCAATTGCGCACAGCAGCGTCCCACAGACAGTGGTGGATTGAGTGAGTGACGCAATTATTATTTTTTCCACTTTTATTTTTGAAGTGTTTATTACCCCCGGAAAAGCGATCTGCCAATCGACTAACAACCGGGTTCCTACTTACTGCTGGGTAAACAGAGGCGCGCGTGTCTGTGTCTGTGTGTGTGTGTGTGGAGTAAGGAAACTTGCCTAAGGTTTCGCCCTGACCTGACCCACCCGGGAATCGAACCCGGGTCCTTGCGAGGCGAGGACTCTAACCACTCCGCCACGGGATTCTGCTTGCGTCCCCTGGGTGGTGACTCCCTGACTAAGTGGGAACAGATTGTTGGACAGCACATCTGCGTGTGTTTGCTTGTCGGTTCCGTCAGTCAAACCGATCGATGGGTCGGCAAACAAACACACAGTCGTTGCAACTCCAATAACCCGTTGCTTGAAACCCTCTGCAGGAATTACATCGCGAAACCCAGCTGGATTTCACCAGTCTCTTCATTCAAGTGATATATAAAACTCCTACCGAGTTAAGCTTGAAGTCCTGCCAACATGAATGTAGTCCCATGCCCCTGCTGTAGGAATTGACTGCGTCTGGGGAAGGAACAGCAACGATTGGAACCTCTAATTTTGAATACCAGGCGAACACAAGATCACTTAGAGATTTACAACGCCTTGCATTTATACAGCATCCCTCATGCAGGATAGCATGTCGGACAGAAAAAGGTTATTCGGCTCGTTGTGTCTGTGCCGGCTTTTTGATCAGCGCAAATCTGTTCGGACCCTCATTCCAGAGAATATTGGGAGAAAGTTGGGCAAGCGCGACTTCGAATTATAATAATACAAGAACAACAACAAGATTTCATTTATAGAGCGCCTTTCACGTCGGGAGGACAGGAGAGGTTGGCTCCCCGGGTCTGTGTCCGGGGTGGCTGGCGAGTGTGGTGGGGAATGGGGCAGTCGGTGTGGCTGCTGCTGGACAGCCAACGCCGAGGGCCACGGTGAGCCCGGCCAGCGGAGCATTCCCAGGCTGGAACAGAGGGAGGGGGTGGGAGGGTCAAGTGGGGATAGAAGGCGAGAGGGATGGAGAGAGAGAGGAGGCCAAAGCGCGAGAGATGCAGAAGGGGGAGGGTTTGGGGGGAGGGAGGAGGGGTGATGGAGGGAGGAAGTGGGAGGGAGGGAGGGAGGAGGTGTGGGGGGGCTCTGGTCAGAGCGGCAGCCATAATGCGCATGTGGGGACCGGGAGCGAGCGGTCAGGTGGATGGCATTAGCCCATAGGCTGGGGCTGGGGCAGCCAACCCAACAGGACCATGCGAGCCTCGCAGGACACGCTGTCGATGTTTGGTGGGCGAAACGCGGCAGCCAATTGAGCACTGCAACGTCCCACAAACAGTCGCGGATTGGGTGAAAATGATTTTATTTAGGTATTTATTGATTTATAGGGATTATTGCCCTCGACTAGCAACCGGGTTCCTACTTACTGCTGGGCAAACAGAGGCACACGCACGCGTGTGTGTCTGTGTGTGTGTGTGTGGAGTAAGGAAACTTGCCTTGGTGGTAATTGGGTCCAGATCCATTTGCTTCATTTCTTTATCACAATCACTCAAGCCCGTGATACCTAGGAGGTATTTTGTGGGCGAGGTGTTCTCCCCGACGTGAAAGCGGATTTACACAGCGACCCCCCCACCACCACCTCCGCCCCCCTCTCCCCTCTTCAGGTGGATCTGAAGTTAGGGGAAGGAAGGGATCGAGGCGGAGAGATAGAGGGAGAGCCTTCCTGAGTTTTGGGGCGAAGTCGCTGAATGCTCACCCGCTGTTTATTATTATTACTACTACTGTTACTATTAGGAGGAAGTAACTACTGAAATTGGACAGAGAAACAAGCTACAGATGAAACACAATAATCAAACCGAATGTTTTGCATTTGATTCCTTGTTCACACAATAGCCCCTTGGTTTCACGTCAGGACTCGAGGAATCATATCAGAGGTTTGATCTGTTTCGTTGGGAGGAAACTGCTGGTGTCTAACCAGCTAAAACCAGCACAGTTTGCCCATTGCCAGCTAGGACCACCCTACCCACCATTAGTTAGGGCTTTGGCTTGCACGGTTAACAGGGACTGAGTGGCATGATATCCGGCCATCAGGCGAGAGATGGGAGGAGGGGGGAAAAGAGGGTTGAAGGCGTGTTTCTTTTGGGGGCGCACACTGCCAGTTGAAGAGACCAGGGGAGGGGGGGGGGGGTGGGGGGGCAACAAGGAAAGAGGACAGAGAACACAATTCAATACCCTCGCATCTCACCCCCCACCCCCCCCCGTTAAACCACTTAAGTCTCAGCCTGGCTCAGCAACTCACTCACCTCCGAGTCAAAAGGCTGTGGGTTCGAACCCTATATGGGGGAAACTTGAACTCTCAGCCATCTAGTGCTGGGGTGAGCTCATTGCCGGAGGTGCCATCTTTCGCAAGAGACGTTATAATAATAACCCTCGCATTTGATGCCGTGCCGTATCGCGTCTTCACGGAATAAACTGTAAAGTGAATTGACTGCATATATTTTGTGGGCGAAACGCGGCAGCCAATTGCGCCCAGCGGAGTCCCCACAGGCACTCGTGGATTGAGTGACAGATTTTTTTTTAAAAAATTATATGAAGGAATTATTACCCCCGGATAAGCGATCCGCCAATGGACTAACAACACCGGGGTTCCTACTTACTGCTCGGTAAACAGAGGCGTGTTGTGTGTGCGTGTGCGCGTGTGCATTAAGCAAACTTGCCCAATGTTTCGCCCTGCCCGGGCACGAATCAACACCGGGGTCCTCTCGCTTGTGAGGCAAGTGCTCTAACCACTGAGCTACAGGACTCCCGAGATAAACCGAGCTCCCCGTCAGATCTGGCTAAAAACTCACCTAGAAGCAGAGAAAAGATGAGTATCATTTTGCAGCCGTTGGATTTCATCTTCAGCCCGAATGAACAGCACCTTGCTATCTCTATCGTTTCCGGTGGGTTTGTGCCTGCCCTGTGTGACTGTAACCGCACGTCACAGTGAGGAAATAGAATCAAGCCTCTCTTTTTTTTTTTCCATCTTGCAACCCACAAAACAAAAGTATCCCGTTGCCTCATTACTTTTTCCAAACATACAGCTGAAACCGTGGGTGAAAATTGACAGGAGGTTCGAGGGGAGAGTTCATAGAATTGTACGGCACAGAAAGAGCTGTCCAAATTAGTTTCCCCTAACCCCCTCCGTCCCCACCCCGGGCGCTCTCTGCATAGCCCTCCAAATTTGTCCCCCCTAAAAAATCTACCTTCTTCCCTCTTGAAGGTTGCGAGGGCCGCGAGATTGATTTGGGTGGCTCTTTTCAAAGAGTTGGCAGAGACACGATGGGGCGAATAGCCTCCTTCTGTGCTGTATGATCCTATGATATGATTCCCCCTTAACCTTCTCTTCTCCAAGGAGAATAGTCCCAGCCTCTCCAGCTTCTCCTCATAATCCAAGTCCCTCATTCCCGCAATGCCTCAAAATCGTTCCTATGTGGCGCCCAGAACTGAACGCTATAACAGCTCACTTTCCCCCTCTTCTGTGACCATTACATCTCCTATCGGATCCCCGGCACGATTCTTCGCTCTCTAATCTTCCTGTTTTGTTGCAATTTCCCCCTCCCACCTTTGCCTCGCACCGCCGTTTAGTTAGATCACGGCTGATCTGTACCACACAACTAATCCTTTGACTTCCAATTTCCTGCTTTCTCCCCATATCCCCGACCTACCAAAATTCTATCAATCTCACTCTTAAAGGTGTGGATGGATCCAGCATTATCGACACCTCTTTTCCTGATTTGTTTAACTCCCCCCCCTTTGTTTTGTATAATTTAACATAACATCCCGTCCCCTCTACCCCATTTCCTCCTTTGTCGTCCTTGCCCTGCCTCCCTCCCCCACTTCTCTGTTAGCCTCTCCCTCAGCATGCCCGAGTTCTGATGAAGGGTCGTGGACCCGAAACGTTGACTCCACTTTCTCTTTAGATGCTGCCTAACCTGCTGGGTGTTCCCAACAACACTCTTGGACACTGTACTCTAGCCGAGTACTGTGGGGAAGGGTGTGGATGGGGGGGGAATAAGGGGCCTTCTGGTGGTCTCATCACGTATTCAAGTCCTCTCAAAGCACTTCACAGAATACACTGTAAAGTGAATTGACTGTACCATTTTGTGGGCCAAACGCGGCAGCCCAATTGGGCACAGCAGCGTCCCACAAACAATCGAGAAAAATAAAATTTTCATTATTTTTTTTGAGGGGATTACTACCCCCGGATTCCCAGGCTGGAGCAGAGGGAGGCGGTGGAGGAATTCAGGAGAGATAGAGAGAGAGAAAAGGCGAGGAGGGCAGTGGGAGAGAACAGAGGTCATGTAGCGGAAGGAAGGTTGGGGGTAAGAGATGGGGGCATATTATGGCCAGTTCCTGTTCATTCCATTAGTTCTCGTTTGTGGTAAATCACAAGTTAGAAGTGGTGTAGTTGCATCTGTAGCAAAGTGGTGAGAACGCTCAACTCACAAATGAAAGGGCCTCGGTTTGATTGCCAGGCAGGGAGAAACCTTAGGCAAGTTTTCTTATTCCACACACCTCTGTTTACCTCGCAGTAAGAACCCAGTTCTAAAGTCGATTGATGAGATTGCTTTCCGGGGGTAATAATCCCTTCAAAAGAATAATAATTTGGTCATTCAATCCCGCTGCATTTCACCCACAACGCATCAAACCACATCACAGTGTAACCTGAAGTGCTTTTTTTTGAAGGGATGATTACCCCCGGATTCCCAGGCTGGAGCAGACGGAGGCAGTGGAGGAGTGCCTAAGGTTTCGCCCTGCCTGGCTATCAGACTTAGGGCCTTTCATCCGTGAGTTAAGCGTTCAACCAGTTTGCTACTTTGCTACAGATGCAACTACACCAAATTTATCTTGTGATTTACTAGAAACGAGAATTAATGGAATCAACAGGAACTAACCATAATATGCCCCCACCGCTTACTCCCCAACCTTCCTTCAGCTACACGACCTCTGTTCCCTCCCACAGCCCTCCTCGCCTTTTCTCTCTCGAGTTGACTCAACAACATGATACATCAAATGCCTTATTCTTAAGTCTTACCAAACTATGCAATTCTAAGCGAAAGGCGAGTTATATAAACACGAGTTACCATCCTAATTCAATACAGCTGTCAAGAGGCAAAACACCACAGATAATAATCATCTTTGGATTTGATATAGTACCTTATATCTCGACTTTGAGACGTCTCAAAACGTTTCACAGGACATACTGTAAAGTGAATTGTAGGCGGAGCCCTATAAAGCATTCACTTCACGAAAGACCTGGGTTCAATTCCCGGCAGGGCGAAACCTTAGGCAAGTTTCCTTACTCCACATGCCCAGATAGGGGTAGGAGGGTGACCGAAAGCATAGTCGAAGAGAAGGGTCTTGAGGCAGGTCTTGAAGGAGGCAAGGGAGGGAGTGGGGGTGAGGCGGAGGGACCGTGGGATGGAGTTCCAGCCGGTGGGGGCAGAGAGGCTGAAGGCCTGCCTGCCAATGGTGGGACGGGCAAGGCGGGCGGGGCGGGGGGTTTGAGGGAATGTGAAGCAGGTTGGAACCCGCTGAGCGGAGGGAGCGGACGGGTTGGTAGGGGTTTAGGTGGTTACGGAGGAGCGAGGCTGTGGAGAGCTTTGATGAGTGCGAACAACTGTAGTGGAGGGAGGATAAAAGTCTCTCGTAGAGGGATCTTTATTTATCACAGTTACAATTATATACAAGAATTTCAGTTCAGACACTTCACCAAGACGTCATGCAAACAGACTGCTCCGCGACGCTGGTTTATCAGGGATCTCGGACAGCTGTCACCGGGGGCAGGATTTCCACTACGCTGCCTCCATCCCCTCCAGTTTCTTCTTCCTCATCAGCAAACGCCTTTCCCGCTCGTACTCCTTCATTCGCATCACGTAACTACAGTAAGAGAAGACAGGAGAGATCATGGCCTGTGATTCACTCGGGTTCACTGTACCTGCTGAGGAGGCCAGATAATGAATCGCAATTGTAGCAATAATAATAATCCTGGTATTTGATATATCTTCTAGACGTCCCAAAGCGCTTCACAGGATGTACTGTTAAGTGAATTGACTGTATATTTTGTGGGTGAAACGCAGCAGCCAATTGCGCACAGCAGCGTCCCCACAAACAGTCATGGATTGAGTGACCAATTTTTTTTAAGGAATGATTATCCCCGGAAAAGCGATTCACCAATTGACTCACAACTGGGTTCCCACGTCATGCTGGGTAAACTGAGGCATGTAGAAACTCGCACAACCTTTCACCCTGCCAGGAATCAAAGCTAGGTCCTCTCGCTTGCGAGGCGAGTTCTCTAACCACTGAGCTACAGGACTCAGTGCTAGTTATAAGGCAAGAGGGATTCACACAGCTTCAATGAGGGAATGAGAAGTGGTATAAGATTATTGCCAACTTTGAGACCAGGGAGATGAGCGCAAATGTCTTTCCAATTCTCTCTATCCCAGAAGCTATTCCACCGGGTGTTTATGAAGTCCTGTTAACCCCCACCGCCCACCTTTTCTTTCTTACAATGAATTTTTATTTCCTGTTGCAGATAAGTGGAGTGTAACAAGGTCTGATACCAGTAATTTCCCCATCCAGGGATGTGTGGTGGTCAGAATCTGGGACCATAGGAATTTCCTAGGCGAAAGACGACCAAGGTCCATCCAGTTCGCCTTCCACCATCCTGGGAGCCGCTTGACATGTCATAATAATAATAATCCTTGCATTGGATATAACACCTTATCACGTCTTTGGGACACTTCAAAGCGCTTCACAAAATATACTGTAAAGTGAATTGACTGTATATTTCGGGCAAAACGCAGCCAATTGCCAAATGGATGGTTCATGATTGTCTGAGGACCGGAAAGGCAACGGAAAATGTGCGGAGTGATTTCAACGAACGGTTCCAAAAAGTGGCTCACCCCCCACCCCAAAAAAAGTGTTAAGCATGTTATACTGGATTCAATTAATCGTTCTTCCATGTATTTCAGTTGTTGGTCAGTGAACAGTGAATTGTAGAGAAGAAAAATACGGGGGCAACAGGGTTTTGTTGTACACTTCTCCTCTAACTTTCCCCCTTCACCCCAAACCCAAGTATGAGAGGAGTCTTGCTGTAGTATTCTTACTCCTGGTGCTGGCAGGAATCCCACTCGTGATTCTCGTGGCTACAGGCGAGGAAGTTGGGCCAGTTGTCCCGTTTGCACTTGAGCAACATGATGAGGTGGTGGGCACAGTAATCCCGCTGCTCCAGTGGAATCCTTGCATCGTCCATTTCCTGCTGGGAGGCCACCATCACTGCAACGCGTAGAGAGAGAGAGAGAGAGTCAATCAATCCTGGCTCAGGCATTCAGACTCCATTGCAATCCAACCACAGAGCAACAAGTTATAATAATAATCCTTGTATTCGATGTAGCGCCTTATCACGTATTCGAGACGTCTCAAAGCGCTTCGCAGAATATACTGTTAAGTGAATTGACTGTGTATTTCGGCTTGCAGGGTTAACAGGAGGTGAGTGGGAGGATACCCTGCCCCCAGTGACTTGGTCTGTCCTTCCAAGTCCTACCGATGAGCCAGGCTGGGCTGTGCCCTGGAAATACTATGGACCCCCGTGGCTCAGGAACCGGACTGGAGACCATCACAGAGGGATGGCTCGATCCCGACATTCCGTGGCCAAACATGTCACCTTGAAGCCAGTTCAGCTGCAATGAGACCCCCACTCGCTCCCCTCCTAAGAGGGGATAGGAGTGGAAGAAATAGGGGTTGCGGTTTTATATATAGAGAGCGATTGTGGATAATAATAATAATCCTTGTATTTGATATAACTGTCTGACACGTTCCTCTTCTCCTCACGCCTCTGTTTACCCGGCAGTAAGTAGGAACCCGGTTGTTAGTCGATTGGCGGATCGCTTTTCCGCCGGTAATAATCCCTTCAAAATAAATCATAATAATCGGGTCACGCAATCCATGAATGTTGGTGGGGACGTCGCTGTGCGCAATTGGCTGCCGCGTTTCACCCACAAAATGCACAGATACTTTACAGTGTATTCTGCGAAGCGCTTTGAGTGCGTCTCGAAGACGTGATAAGGCGCTGTATCAAATGTCAGGATTATTATTATTATTATACGGCCCCAAGGTCTGACTTCTTTCTCTCTCTCTAAGGCCCCGCACTCTCTCCTTCCCTCACACATACACTCACTCGCTCGCTCTCCCCCTCCCTCACTCACTCACTCACGCACTTTACTCTCTCCCTCTCTCATTCCCTCTCTCTAGGCCCCTCACTCTCCCTCTCTCTCTCGGCCCCTCATTCTGTCTCTCTACGCCCCTCACTCTTCCTCTCCCTCTCTCTAGGCCCCTCACTCTCTCTCTAGGCCCCTCACTCTCTCTCTAGGCCCCTCACTCTCTCTCTAGGCCCCTCACTCTCACTCTCTCTCTCTAGGCCCCTCACTCTCTCTCTTTCTACGCTCCTCATTCTCTCTCTCTCTCTCTCTAGCCCCCCCCCCCTCTCTCTCTCTCTCTCTCTAGCCCCCTCTCTCTCTCCCTCTCTCTAGCCCCCCCCCCCTCTCTCTCTCTCTAGCCCCCCCTCTCTCTCTCTCTCTAGCCCCCCCCTCTCTCTCTCTAGCCCCCCCCTCTCTCTCTCTCTCTAGGCCCCCCCCCTCTCTCTCTCTCTCTCTAGCCCCCCCTCTCTCTCTCTCTCTCTAGGCCACTCTCCCTCTCTCTAGGCCCCTCACTCCCTCCCTCCCTCCCTCCCTCACTCACCGCGCTCTTTCCTCTCGGGGAAGCCGAGATGCGGGTCGAAGGTGGGCAGGTTGTTGGGGTCGGGCTCGGTCTCGCGCTCGGTCACGTACCGCCGCACCAGGTGAGAGCCCATGGCCGCTCACGGACACACAGTGGGGTCACCCTGAGCCCGCCCGACCGACCGCCGCCACCGGAAACGCCAGCCTTTGCGGGGCGGAAGTTCGCCGCTGACTGACGGGTGAGGTGGGCGGCGCCCCCGGCTGGGAGGGGCCGGCCATGTTTGTGCGGGGCAAATCAGTCAGTGCCTGGCGCGCGTGCGTCATACTGAGGCGGGCGCGGCGGGGGGGGGGAGTGTGCGCATGTGCGCGCGCGCGAGGCGCCTCCCACAGCGCGTGCGGAGACCGGTAACTGTCAATCAAGAGTGACAGTTGGGAGGAGGGCGGGAAGGTGACTGGTCAAGAGAGGGGGGGGGGGGGGGGTGTTGGGGGGGAATGGTTTAAAATGGTTAGAAAATGGGGGAAATTGGTTAGAAAATGGGGAGAAGTGGTGGACATTGGTTAGAAATTGGGAAGAAGTGGTGGACATTGGTTAGAAAATGGGGAGAAGTGGTGGAAATTGGTTAGAAATTGGTTAGAAAATGGGGAGAAGTGGTGGAAATTGGTTGGAAATTGGTTAGAAAATGGGGAGAAGTGGTGGAAATTGGTTAGAAAATGGGGAGAAGTGGTGGAAATTGGTTAGAAATTGGTTAGAAAATGGGGAGAAGTGGTGGAAATTGGTTAGAAAATGGGAAGAAGTGGTGGACATTAGTTAGAAAATGGGTAGAATTAGTGAAAATGCGTTGAGAGATGGTGGAAATTGGTGAGAAATGGAGGAAATTGGATAGAAGTTAGTGACATTGTTCAGAAAATGGAGAGAGATTGGTTAAAGGTGGGATGAAGCTGGTTAGAAATAGGAGAATTTGGTTAGAAATGAGGGGAAATTAGTTAGATATGGGGGGGAATCGGTTAGACATGGGGGGGAATCGCCCACAAATATACAGTCAATTCACTTTACAGTCTATTCTGTGAAGCGCTTTGAGACGTCGAGAAGACGTGAAAAGCGCTATATCACATGCAAGGAATGTTATTATTATAAAGTGGTTAGACATGGGAGAAATTGGTTAGAAAATGGGAAAAAATGGGGTCGTTGATTAGAAAATGGGGCAAATCGATTAGAGAGCATGAGGGCTATTGGTTAGAAAGTGGAGGAAATGGTTAGAAATGGGGAGAATTTATTAGAAAATGGGCGCATTGGCTGTAAGGCTGGGGGTGGGGTGGGGCGGCGCGGGGGAGGAATGGCTGAAAAACAACAACAACAATAATAAAAATAATTATCGGTCAGAAATGGGAGGGGGGGAACCGAAAAGAGGAGAATGGTCGTAAATGTGGGGGAACTTTGGCTGCAAAGAAGGGGGGAAAAAAACGGCTTCGATGGAACCCCCTCGATACCGACCCGCCTCGCGATCTCTCCTCGGTTCTCATGGCCAATTGGCAGGTAAGTGACGGCATGTTCTTGTGAGCGCCTTTCACGTTGGGACCGTCAATTCACGTTACAGTATATGCCGTGATGCACTTCGAGGCGTCTCGAAGGCGTGATAAGGCGCCGTATCAGGCGCAAAGGGTATCATCACATAATAACATTCAATCCATCTCAAAGTGGCTCTTCTTTGTGAAGCTCTTGGAACGCTAAGAGGCGACTGAGGAGAGCTGTGTTGGTGTAGATTCAATCACGAATGAATCTGAAGGGGCTTTTTTTTAAGCTCCTTCCTGTCCATACATCTATGAGATGTGTCTGTATGGTAAGGCACCATGTTAAATGCCAGTTGTTTTTTTGCCAGCGCCTTGGGACATCCTCCTGCCGTGACAGGCTCTATACAAATGTAATTTTGTTGTTGTTATTTTGTCTTAGATGTAAAAGCTGGATAACCTGAAGAGCAGGAGTAACACATTACATTTCACATTAAGCAGGTAAGATGTTCTTACTTACAGTTATCACAACTCATTCATTCTCTCGGAAGTGCTCCTTTACAGTGCCTCCAACATCAACGCAACTCAAAGCTTCACGGGAATTTGCTGGGAAATGTCACGGCTGTGTATTTGTAGGCAAATATAATAGCCTATTTGCGCACAGCAAAGTACCACAAACAGCCATGGAGGGAATGGCCAATTTATCTGAGGTTTGTTGGCCAGGACACCAGGAGAAACTCCCTCTCTTTCCAAATAGTATCACAGGACCATCTGACGGACTCTCAGTTTAGCATCTCCAACAATACAACAATTACACACCCCAGGACTGCATTGTAGCTTCAGTCTAGACTAGATCGGTCCAACTGGCGGCCCGCGGGCCAAATCCCGTCCACGGATGATTTCATCCGTCCCGTTTTTAATTCAATGTCTGATGAGCAAATTCAGGTGTGTCTGTATGTGTCAACACGCAGGCCCCGAGTCAATCAGGAGACGGTCACCTGGGGCTCAGGCTCTGCCCACCGGGATTGGACAATCAGTATAAAATGTTGCTTATGCAGCCACGAATGTTTCTGATATCTGGTATCCTGCCCTTGGCAGCCAAAAGATTGCCAAAACCCTGGCCTAGACTTTGGTCACCTCTGGTTCTATTTCCTTTCACCCCTGCAAGTCACAGGATCGATCAGAAAATGAATTATTTGTGTCTTAACAAGATAAAGAGATGGATGAGAAGTTGACTCATCCAATTTCACTTTCGGTTGCTTGCTCGCCTGTAGATTTTATCTGACTAAATAACAGATAAAGCCATCCGAAAATTAAATGGCCCTTAATACTAATTGAACCCTAATGTCATGTACAAATAGATGCAAATCACCATTTAAATTCTAATAATAAATCATCATTTCCCCCACAGGCTGAGTGTGTTTACTGTATTTGGTCCAGTGCTGATCCATGCAAATCAGGGCAGTCCTTGGCTTCATTTCCCTGTCTGCACTGAGTATCCACCAGGGGGTTCTACAACCACATTTTCACATCTGGTTTATTTGTGGTAAACGGGCCAACTTTGAGTTCCTCCGTGTTTATCTTCCTTAGGAGGGGGGTAAGTGGGGTCTTCTTAGAACTAAACTGGCCTCAAGGTGACATGCCTGGCTCATCTCTTTAGGTCTAGGGAAAGATTAACTCGTTGTATAGACTGCAGCAGCTAACTCAGGTGGATTGGAGCATGTGTCTATCACAGTGCTGCCCTAACCCTTTACAGTTAGACCACTCCTTTCATACTTTGGACTCAGACTGGGACTGAGCAAGTGACAGACTCACTACTCGTATGAAACTCCTGTTGATTTCTGTTGAAAATGGCTGTCTTTCACTTCCTTTCCTTCCCAGCCCCCTATGTTTCATTAGAACCTACATTATCATTTTTAACAACTCTTTCCTAGAAAAAAAAATTTATTAGCAGTATAGCTCCCAACCTCAGTATGGTGTGAAAACCCCAAACAGTAGATAAAAGAACCATAGAAATTAACAGCATTGAAGGAGGCCATTCAGCCCATCATTCCTGCAATGAAAGAACTCTCCATTCAGAACTATTCTCCTTCCTCCCCTCATACATCTTTTTATCTGTCCCGTTTTCCTAATGAATTCCTTTGAGAAGCAGTTATAGATTTTGATTCAATCAGTCAGGCGTTTTATGTCCTAATAACAGCCAATTGTGCACAGCAGCGTCCCACAAACAGCTGTGCATTGAGTGACCAAATTATTCTTTTTATATATTTTGAAGGGTCATTAGCCCCAGAAAAGCGATCTGCCAATAGACTAACTGGGTTCCTACTTGCTGTTGGTAAACAACATCTTGCATTCATATGGTACCCTTCACGCAGCATAGTGCCCCGGATTGCTTATAGACAGAGGCCCTGTTCTCTTGTTTAGCCACTCACCGACCAGATGCTAAATTTATTTTGTGGGAAGCCGGAAAGCAACACTGGACAGTCAGGTCTTAAATAATTGTATTACTTTTTTGCGATCCACTAGCTGATTTCTATTGTAACGCTGATCACAAGAAGAAGCGATCTTTTCAGTCTTCATTCGCTTTCCCCCCCACCCTCATTTCTCTCCTCTCCTTCAGTTGTGGTCTGTTACTCATTCTTCACTCCCTCCATCTCACTATTGATGGCTGAATCATCAGCCAATGCGCCCTTGCCAACTGAAACTCTTCCAAAACCTTTTTACTACCTCTCTCCTTGCCTTCAAGGCCTTCCTAAAGATGTATCATGTCGGCCATACTTAACGTGTTTAATTCTCCATTAGTTCACTCTTTTTGGTGCTCCCTATCCTACTTCTTGTGTTTCATTTACTGTGAAAGATGCTTCTTAAATTTCGCATTTCACCAAAGAAGTCAATAGCTGGCTTGAGACAACAGCGCTGATGTCTATAGATGGCGACGTTGAGCTGCAGATATGATCCTACTATTGGTGGGAGCAAAAGGCACGGATTATATCTATATATAAAATAATCTGTGTGACTCAGGGAGCCACTAACAATTGCTGTAACCTAAATGCACACAGATCTATAGTTCTTCCACAGCTGTGATTATTTACTGCAAAATTATTTTCCTGTTGATTCCATATTCCAAATTCATTATCGTGTGATGTATGTGTGTGTGTGTGTATCGGGGGGTGAGGGTGGGTTAGGGTTCCACAAAATTATTGCAACCAACAAATCAAGCCAAATCTTCCAGCTGGTCTCAATTCTGTTGTTTTATTGGGTCATATCCAAATTTGGGCTTATAAGATATCTGAAATGACTTAATCGTCTCTTTTTTTTCACCCCACCTCCCCCCCCTACCACCACCCCACCTCTCTCCTCCACATCTACAACCAGCTGTTTGCTTGTACTATGAGCGAGTCTTTGTCTGGCTCAGAGTTGAGGCTGGATCAAACCCAATGTTATAGCTGAGAATCTTCAGCTTGTCATTGGAAACAACAGTTTCGAAATCCTAGTTTCAAGATACTCCCTCCCAGTCTGGGAGCTGAAACATGATGTCAGGCACTTTGAGATCACAGGCCAGGCTGATGCTCCAGAGCAGTGCTGGGGAGCCGTCAAATTGTCTGAGGTACCATCCATTAGATGAGATGTTAAACCAAAATCCCATTTGTGCCTTCTCAGGCAGTCATTAATGAACCCATATGACTAGTCAAAATGTAAAAGC